CAACCAGCTCTCGTGACTTTAGGAGACGCTTGGATAACGTACATACATTCGATGTACTTTCGATATGTTGCCAGTACGGTTATTTCAAACTCTATTCAGTGACATTTATAGGTGTCTTAAATCATTAGGAGGAGTATCGCTTGCTACAGTTGAAGCGGCAGACTGATGCGACCTCGTGTATCTTTGTATATAGGGTCATTTGAAGATATGATATCCTCGCGACATTATACTATTCTACAGCCTGAAGGACACACCAAGTCAAGAGAAAGTCAAAATGACTTTATTTTGACGTTATGAAAGTCAAAACGAAGATCTTTTTTGTTATAAAATTTGACTGTTTATTGACGTTAAAAATAAAAAGTTACTTTGATTTTTTTGTTGACTTTTGTGCTCCTTGTAAGGGACTTCCAAGGTGTAGAAACCCCGTGACAATTTTTGTAAAATATATCGGAAAACGATGAAAAATACGTGTTCCAATCACGGTTGCCAAGTCCCGAGCACTGTACGGCTGGGGCCTAAAGGTCCGCTGGAGATTTTATATTTCGACTGGAGACCGGCCGATTGTTTCATTAAAAAAAAAAGAAAAAAAGAAAAAGGCGCAGGGTTTAATTCGTGTTTTGCGACCATTGTTATAGACTTTCTTTTTGTTATTAATATTTGACCAACATAAAGTATCAACACAATCACACAGAGACCTTTTTATTATTACAAGATTTATACAGTACGAACACAATTACAAACTTTTTTATTATTCGTAAAATAACATAAACTGCGAACATAATCGCAGACTTTCTTATTACTTTCCACGTAATTTAAATATGTAATTAATAAATACCCCACGCGAGCGAAAAACTGGAGATTTTTCCCGTCTGCTGGAGAACTGGAGATTGAGCCTGAAAACTAGAGTCTCCAGTAGAAATCTGGATACCTGGCAACCGTGGTTCTAATATTCAAAAGTTACCTTTTGGTATAGGTGTTTATTATTTATCATCCCCAGGTACGCGAGAGTAAGAGAAACGGATATTGCCAAGTGCATGAAATTTCCACTTTTGTACAGTATAATTTTTGGATAAGGTTATTCATATAATTTAACTTAAAATTGTCGTTTTTTTTATCGCTATAAAAAACTTTTCAAATAAGTCTTCACTTTACTTCTATGCCATTTAGAATTTTCATCAACTCTTCCGCCCTCGCGCAACCTGGGGGTTGTGATCGATCAGCATCCATGCCAAAAAGTAGCTGTTTTGAAATATCGGAATACATTATGTTCCACCGTTTTCCGATATCTTCATTTTTGCGTTTTACTAAAAATTAGTGTATTGGATATTCCACACTTTTGGGAAACCCTGTATATTTCTTACAGCACATTTTATCTTTAGGATGTCCCTTGGAGGTTTGTGCTATATGGAACTGTATTCTGATGTTTTCTTTAAATAAATAAAATGTCGATAGCATTAACATAGTATTATGCTGTATATTTCCTGCTTTTGATATTTTATACATTGCTTTCTTCTCAGGCTCTAAAAGCGTTCTATTATGGTAACAAGGTTCCTGAATTGCCTTCGAAAACGTGATGCATTAAAATAGATCTTCATTTCCATATGTATATCAATTGATGTGATGATAGTGAATGTGAATCCCGTTATATAAGTAAACTGTGAATGCGCGCATCTGCGACATAAAAATTACCATTCTAAGAACCTATACAATCTTGTTTCCATAAAGGTATATGGGGTCACTCCCTTATAATCTCTTAGACTTTCATGGCAAGTTGAAGTAGAGGCTGACTGGTTGTTGCCTTACATTGCTTCAATTTTCTTTTGTTCCCTAATGCAGCTCGTTGAGTCTCCCTTGCGGTTTCCTATCCAGGGAATTTGATTGATTTGCTACGATTTCCGTAGAATTCCAACGGAGCCTGTTGATGCTCGGAAATTCCTTCCCGAATAAATATAAATGTTTAAGCACCAAAAGAGAGAAGATTAGTTTTTAGTCGGTGAAAGTGCGTTATTACGATGATCGTTGTGATCGTGTCGTTGTATTTTGCTTAAATTGCATTGGAAATGAGATGCCTATCCGACGATTTCCATGATAATTACGAAGTCTCACGGTAACGGAAACCATAGGCAAAACTATTGTGGTGATTGTGATGACAAAAAGAAAGCAAAATTATGGAGAATAATTTCACATTTCCTATAATTCCGCGTTAATCGGAAGTCATTTCTTGAGCATTAGTAGACTGTAAATTGACTCCGGCACGCGCAACTTTGCAAAATACATAAGATTCTGCTTCTTGAGGTGTATTATCCGCACATCAAAATTTTATGATATTAAGATATTATTAACGCATATTTATATTACTTTTTAACATTAGATTTACGAAACGTAATCCCGTTAATTTGACAGATTTCAGATTTCACGACTAAAATTATAGAAATTACCATTAAAAGTAATAATTAAAAAATGGATTATTATAACAAATGAAAAATTAATAAAAAGTATTTTTAATGCTTATGTATTATTTTAAATACATTAACTATTGATTAAATCTCTTATACCTATATATTTTTTTCTTTAAAGTTTTTCAATCTAACAGCTTAATAAACTAATAAATATCTATTTTTTTTATTTTTATAAATATTATATTAATAAATGAAATATAAACTTTTTTGTTTTAAAGTCAAAATAATTATTTTCTTATTTTTTACATTATCTTTTTGTATATCATAAAACGGCTGATAGCGCAAAATTACTAATTTTAGCGTAATCATTTCTGATTAACACAATTTCACACTATAACGAGAAGGTAGTTATCGCAAGCCGAAATAGCTCAGTTGGGAGAGCGTTAGACTGAAGATCTAAATGTCCCTGGTTCGATCCCGGGTTTGCGCATCCTTTTTTTCTTTTATTAGATAAATTCATAAGGAATACAGAGAGAACTTGCTTTATCATCATTTCTTACGCGGTAGTTCGAAACGAGCCGAAATAGCTCAGTTGGGAGAGCGTTAGACTGAAGATCTAAATGTCCCTGGTTCGATCCCGGGTTTCGGCAAGTGTCTTTTTTTTTTAGATATAATTTACGTAAAAAAGATGCACTCACAGACTTTTATTTTTATTGTAAAGAAAAATTGTCAGTAAAAAATATTTTATTTTTTTTATTTTATTCTATTTTTTAACATATATTTTTTTACTTATACTAAAAGTAACGAACGTTTCAATTAAATTACATTTTCTTTTAAACTCTGTAATTATGTTGTCTAAATATGGCGTTGGATTATCGAAGATGTCCGTGAAAGATTAGAAATCATATTATCAAGAAATAGATAATTATAAATCTTTTCCTATCTTTAATTAATTTATTTAACCTTTTAATAAAATTATTGCGTAAACGGATCAAAATCCTCTTGCTTGTACATGTAGTCGACCTCGCCGCAGGCTGCGATTGTATCATTCACGTCAGTAAGAAAGCGATTATATCGATAATAATAACTCTCGATGTAAAAGTTAGCAAGCGTAATTCACGATTCAACGACCTGTTCATTGAGCATAAACCGATGAGTTCGCGTATGTTTGGAGTAACTACATTACACGCACAAATTGCAATTATACACGTTCGTCGCACGCTTGTTCGCCGTGAGGCAAGATATTTGACACGGCTGACACATTATACATGTCGCAATCCATTGTACGTCAGAAGTATTAGCGTTAAACTCTTGGTGTTTAACAGATTTATTTATTACAGAATATTTCAAAATCGACATCGTGCCTCTTTCAATCATGAATCCTTCACTGACAATTTTTTCCTAACGAGGACGTTGAAATCATAGGTACTTCTTGATAGTCCTCCCTCTTTCGACATACGCAAATCACAAATAAATTGCAGTCTATTAAATATAAAATTCGAGATAATCTCTGAGATAATCATACGTTAAAGTAAATGTCTGTTGCAAAATGTCGATGGGTGTGTCTATCAATCATTTTCGCGGTTCGAATTAGAGCTCCATAATGCTATTGCATATTTATCACGATTAATTATATTCGCCCGTTCTAATTCGGGCTCTTCGATTTGTCGTTTATAAACCAACTTCCTATGCGCACGCGTTTTCCTCTTGAAATTTCAGCGATGTGATTGCCTTCTCTTATCTACATTTATTACCTCACCGACCGATATTGCCTGCGGGATTCCGAAATGTGGTGTGCTTCTGGAACAATTATCTCTTAATTAGATTTCTGCTCCGAGAGCATGTATGTTTCATGGTGCTCTCCTACGCATCGATGCGCTATCTTCGTTTCCGTTCCACTTAACATTTCTGTGCTCCATAGGGAAATACAGTAACCAATACTTCTACATTAATAATTTATTCATTTATGAGATTTTATTTCTTTTTATTGTACTAATTTCAGAAATTTTTTAAAATAATAGTTATATCATTTAAAAGGCAATAGTCGTTATATCTCACTCAATAATGGTTTACTGACTTCAGAGAGGATGAAAGTTGCGTTTGTGTTAAGAATTAGTATGTGAGATGAGATCCTTGAATAATCCAGTCTTAGATAGTTTATAATTATATCATATATTAAATGTAAATTTATCAAGATTTAATTTTTGTTAAAATTTCGAGTGCCGATGAAATTTCGGTGTGCAGCTCAAAATGACTACAAATATGATATATGTATATGTAAATACATATATAGTATATACAAATTCACATTGAATTATTTAAGTATTAAAGATCCACCTTTGATCGTTATAGACCTTTAATTCCTATTTCCTATTAGTTGTGTTTTCACATGTACGATCTAATAAGATTCTTATTGTCCTTATTGTTTAATTTTTATGTTGCTGAGGAGGGCTAAGTAAAGTTCGAAACGTCTTGTATACATGTCACAGTAGAAGAATAATAATCAATTTAATTAATTGTCGCCTCATTTGCTCGTTTTGATTAGTTGACCCTCTATTTGATTTGTTATTGTTCATTCAATAAATTATATCTTGTTTACAGAGTCGTGACTGACGATCTACCAAACATGTTACGTCTCGTGAGCCTTCTATTTCTATGTAAGTATAATTAAAATTTTATGTTTAATAAACGCATCATAGAATAATTTAAATACGTCAATTTAAATAAGTCACTTTTGAAAAAATTGCACCTTTTTTAAAAATGATTCTGTGGACAGAAATAGTAATGGAATTGTAATTATATAATAAAATAATAATAATAACAAAATAATGAAAAATGTGGAACTTTATTTTTTTATTATATGTGTAATATAATAATAATAAAATAAAGGAATTTCTACATTTATTGTATATTACTAGAGTTTTAATAGGTTCAATTGAAAAGTTAGATTACAAGAAAACGTGATAAAAAAACATAATAGTATAAACATAATATAATACAATTCTCGTAATCTAATTTTTAATTTATTTACAAATATCTGGATTATTTAACAGAAAGGCGACGTGCGTATTGACATCAGTGAAGGTAGTAAAAGAACTTCGATCGATAAAACAAGTATATTTCATAGCCATGTCCCTCGTGATTCGCGGACTTCGTTCTTCAACGAATCAATTCACCAGCGATGAATCGGCAGAATAAAAATTCTTCCTTTTGAGCTTGGACGCATTGACGTCGTTCTCTTTTTGTCATTCTTTGTCTTCCACGGTCTGGGATTTAAAGGATCGATGGGAATACGGGAATACAATCGGCGAAACGGCATTTACTGGCGCACCATCCTGCTGATGGTCATCGGCCATCAGCAGTGGACAATCGATTAATCTCCACTGCGCCACCGCTGCGTGGGATTACTCAATATTTTTATTTATTATTTCCCCTTATCGCCGCTGTTTATCCATGCTGCTAGCCGATAATTACGGACCAATCGTGTATCTATATCTCTGGCAGCGTGGG